GTATATATATATATATATATATATATCCGTGTCAGTGTGAACTACTTGTACTTGATGATGACAAAACCTTGTCGAAATGTTGTACATTTGCTGTTATGTTAAACGTATATTAAAGTTTTTCTTCATTACCCATTCAAGGCGTCTCCAAGCATTATTAAACTTAAAGTGGGTTCTCGTCATCGAATAACAGATTTTGCTTTTATATACATTAAAGAATGAGAAACTGATTGTGTTTTTTATGACATAGTACGCATTTAACGTACTGGTTATAGTTTTTGCTTCTATATTTAATGTTATTTCTTACGTTTCCTGATGTTTTATATGTAAACTACTTAATGTTAATTAACCCTTGCCAGATGGGTCACGGGTCAAAGGCTATGTCATCGCGTTTGTTAACTAGCATTCAAACTTTTATTGAACTACTATTTTATGAATTTATTTCATTAAGTTTGGTATTAAATTGTAGATTATAATTTAAGTTTTCATATTATACATTATTTAATTTCAACTTTTTAATTTAAAAGTAATTATCTAAAAACACACCTACGCATCGATTTTTGTGTGTCACATGGTATGTTGAATGCAGCACTGGGTCAAGTTAGGTACTTGTGATGTCAAAATACAAAGTCTATAGTTTCGTACGAATTAGGAACTCAAATTAGCGACATTGACAAGCTAGCATATAAAATAAGAACCTTCTACCTTTTCTATTTGCTGAGATATTGCTCATGTACTACATCAAACACAGTGGCCTTGCTCACATCATTCCATTTTTGGAAACGGTCCCTTGTATACACTTGCATTTATATATGACATGTGAATAACCAATCGAAAGCTTAGAATGTCCCCCTAGTGGCTTTCTCAGCCATTTTCAAATAAGCGTAATTGCTTTCGTGCTGGTAAGTTAAGTCTTTAGCCTATTCAAAATCTCATATTTTTAGACCCAAATACAGCTTAATTACTTAACTTTATAAATTATAATGAAATTCTATGGTATCGATATAGTATTTTATGTTTATGTGGTTATTCGAATGTATATATAAGACCTAAAAAAATTATTTTGTTTCACATCCTCCACGTGCGAAATTTATTAAAACTTAGCAAGCTATGAAAAACAGCAACCGAGTACAAATGTCCTAACTAAAAAAGAGAATTGTTTCCTTTACTTCTCTATATAATATTCTATGTTTTAAGAAAAATAAGCTTAAGAACTTATTTCAAAATATATACTGTATAATAATTGAAATGTGACTGTATTTTACAAAACACTAGTCCACTAAAACACATCTAAGGTCAGTTTTATATTATTCGATATGGTAACATCAGTGCACGTGCACCACATCATTGTAACTTCTGTATTGTTAGCCAGGCATGGCTGAAAGGTCAATATAATAAAAATAATAAATATATATAAATGTATAATGTTATGAGGTTTAAGCTATTTGGTCTAAATAGTTTTGTGTTCGTGTTATAATTCGTAGTTATTCTAAAATGAAAAAAGCATTTATTTCCTAACTTTTTATTGTGGTTACGAGATCGGTCAAATTGACCAAACCCGTACAGAGATTCATTTGTGAAAATAACAGATAAAAGATAAAGTTTTTCTTAAGAAACGTCTGATAACTATCTGGACATATTAAGGATTTTGCATGTTTAACTTGAAAATTTTCTGATGCATAAAAGTATTTTTAATCTTAAAATGAAAATTACATTGCATTTCGGATAGCCAACATATGAAGAGAACAGAAGGCATGAGAAAAATATTGCTTAAGGAATCTTAAAACTTAATAAAAATATGATACTTTGTGTATGAAAGCATTGTAATTTATACTGATAATCTGCCAGATTTCGTGAACATACGCTTACTAATTTAAAAGTTATAGCATGAAAACTATAACAAGAACAAAATGGTTATGAAGTCAGTTCCAGGGGCCGAGCCCATGCTGAAAGAGTTAATTTGTACAATTAATAAATAACATCTATTTGTGTTGAAAAGGATGCTTATTTAAATCTCATGCTTAGCTTTATAAGATGATTTATTCTGCTAAAGTTTAAACAACCTACATAAATAATCATTACTATTGTATATTACTCTAACCATTACTATAACCAAAACTATACATGTTTATCAAGGATATTATTTTAATGCTTAAAATAAAGGTTTTTGACAATATCTTTGTTACGTCCATCAAAATGATAGTATTAACATTATTTATTGATTACTAGGTTTTAAGGAAGCATAATTTTCATTTATATATATATATTATTATTTCTATTTTTGATTATGTGCTAATATATTTAAACTAGACCTAGATTACATAAGTATGAATTATAATTCTTTAGAGTATTTAACAAACTCATTTCACACCATATACTTGCCATGTAGATAGATAAAGGTGAAGAACATAACTATTGAAGATTTCTTCTTAGTAAGTTTACCTTAACACAGTGTTTTTTGTTCACTGTGGGTGAAGAACATAACCATTGAAGATTTCTTCTTAGTAAATATACCTTAAGAAAATGTTTTTGTTTTTATTTACTACAGGGAAAGGACATAACCAGTGAATGTTTTTTCTTATCAAGTATACCTTACACAATGTTTTACTTTTTGGTTTACTGATTATACATTTAAATGTGTTTTGTTTATATGATTAGTGCTGTACATTTAACGCCCATTAGTTATTTTGACATATTTGGTTCATTTCAATTTTTGTTTTATATTTCTTTTTGGTATTTCTATCGAGTACAAGGTGCACTACATTACAAAATGTATTGGTACCTTACGAATTGAAAAGTATGTCTCGTATGTAACTACTGGGCTGTTTGTTAGTAAGATGTAGATTCATGTTCGTCAACCAATAAATAATATGCATCTGGCTGAACAGACTATTAAAATGTTTTTCCAAGAAATTCAAGTGCATTGTGGTTTTCTTTTCATAAGGCGAGGTTTTAACTGAAATGCATTTCAGGATCTTTTAAGAGTAGTCATGATATCAAGTCCAAAATAAATAGAATATGAATCATGTCATGATACAACTCCCACCATTCTTCACGATTGAGAAGACGCACTGTTATGCAAACGCCCTCGTGGTTGCCGTGAAATCTAGACTTGTCCATTATCAGCATTTGTAAGAACCAATGAGTGAAAGCAAAGGAAAATATGATACGTCAACCACACTACATATAATGATAGACAAGGTTCATCTCCAAAGGATGGTTTTTAATTGTTTTTCACACCAATGTTGAAGCTTATGAGAGCCAACGCTTTTCATTCAAGGCTGTGATGAGCGGCTTACAGTTTGCAACACGTCCATGAAATATAAAAGTATGAAGCTCTCTACGCACATTTGATGCGCTACCCTGCTGTCTTATATTCTAACTAAAGCCATCGGTGATAGACAGGCACAAGGCTTACAGTTCATAACACGCTTCATAGTTCGTACGAACCAAGAAATAGTCAGTTTAAACCGTCAAGCTTGTATTAATTAAACATTAAAAGGTCCAATGATGTTTCCTTTTTTTTTCAGAACATTCCCCATAGTGTATTTCGGTATCAGTTGAATAGTCTAAGACACTAACAACACTGCATACAAAAACTCTTCCTCTTTTCAGGTTTATCAGATCTTTTCCACATAACACATGGCTCCAAATAGTTGTCTATGGTAGTTGCTAACTTCCAATAACACTGGCCAACAAGTCATTTCTATCAGATATAATTACAGATGGGCTAGATTGCTCTTGGGACTCTGATTCCAAATCTGTTTTTGGTTTTTCTGTAACACGTCAAGTTTTCGTGATGACACCGATCAAATTTGAAAGGTTATTGTTGTACATTTATTTTTTCCCAAGTATGTACTGTTCAAATTTTACCAAGTGTATGGTGTGTATAACGTTTATGGAAATTATACTGAAAAATGAATAAAATTGTAACGTTAACTAGCCTAATGTGTGATTATTACCTAAATTGTGATTAAAATATTACCAGTCATATTTCGATAACTAGGTGCGCTAGTAGAAAACCGTAAACACATTTGGAATCAGTGTACAAAACTGGTCCAGAAAAGTGTATTTATATCTTTGATGAGAGAAAAAAGTTTGATTTTGTCGAAGCAGTGTAAGTATGAGACTCGTGTGCAACTCTGGTGGGGATAGGTCCATGCTAGTAGGCACATGCTGTTTTAATACAGTAATACATTGCATATGCATATACCTTGAATACTGATTTTTTTCCGTGTGTTCCAGCTTATAATTTGCAACATTAATAATATTATTTTGCAAATTGTGCATTTTTATCGAGCCTAAAATATCTAATCAACGAATAAACACACAATGTAACAGATTTTGAGTTTATCTGTCTGATGATATCATCCATTTTCAATAGTGTCCTTTTGCATGATGAGTGCAAAAATAACAAAATTAGACCAGGAAAACATAGTTTAGTGAAAATAATGTCTTTTACGAAACAACTTTTGAAATTTAAGCTTATCAAACTGTATAATATCATATGACAGAAAAATACATTATTTGGAGACATCGATAAATATTCATGAACGTCTAGGAATTAACAACTTTCTAATTTAATATCATATTTTTGCTGATATGAACAGTATACCGTAGGAGAAGTTAAATGATAACAATGAAAGAGACAGGTTACCTGATGCAATATATTCTACTCTAACATACATACCGCTGGAAGAGCAAAGAATGAGATTCCTAACAAAGCACAGAAGGCTGCTATCAGTTTTCCACGCCAAGTAGTAGGAACCATGTCACCATATCCTACAGTGCACAATGTAACCTATGCATAAAATAGTTTTAGTTTTATAGTGTTTGCTTCTAATGGCTATTAGTTGTTAAATACATATATTAAATCAACAATTATCTTCTATTAAATATTGTTGAAGTGTTTGTTTCAATAAAGATGCGACTCGTTAAACCGAAAAAAATAAGTCTTATAACAACAACAAACTATATGAATTGTTATTATATTTTATGAAAATGTTGAGCATTTTATTTTGTCTTACATCAATATCTCAGAAAAACATGCATTGATTGTTAACAACGTTAATAACATAATGATCTTCCATCACATTAAATGTAACAAGAGAGACTGTACATGGTCGAAGATAATAATATAAAATACAACGGTGTACAAGTTTAATAAGCTTCTCTTATGGTTTGTACCTTATAATTTTGTTACTCAGATTAAAACTCTTTGGTAATATTTTTATAGGATTTTAGTAAACCAACATAGTTTGTTCCAAAATTGTATTTTTTAACCTATTCTTACTTACAAACAAACATATTAATATTTTACACTGCTATAAAATAATTATTTACCATAGTGATAAAACTATTTAACAACTACTCATTTGATACAATATGTGTAGTTCATTTCGAATACAAAAAAATAGGAAGTTATGAAAATTAAAGAAACTTACAACTCCCCACCAGAGGGCGTCAGCAAAACTATGAAAGTTCGTATTCTTTTGATCTTTCTCAGCAAGGTAAATTAAAAACGACGAAAATATCAAACCCAAGAAGCCAATATACAGAGTTGTGAAGAGCTCCTTTTTGAAAATTGAAACAAAATTAAAACAGTAACAAAATTTAAGTTATACATATATTTCTTAAAATAACGTAATATATGAGAAATTTCTACCTCTGAGCAGATGATTAGTCTGAGCAAAAATAATCAAAAATCAGTAATTTATATCTTTGTAAAATGCTTAAGCCACTGCTTATAAATATTTATTTACCGGACTAATTAACGACTTGGTATAAATAAACTGTTTTACGTATAATTATCAAACCAGCAGCTCAAACGCTATTTATATAAGCACAAATACACATAATGATAATATATGTGTTTTTCATACGCGACACATTATTTCAACAGTTCGAGTAACTCAACTGTTTTATATTTAGTAATAGTAATTAAAATAACTAATTTAAATTATTGTAGATGTGACCAGAGCAGATACAGAAGATTATCGAAGAACAAAGTATGTGATTTATGGTGTTATGCCTATAAATACCTTTTTCCTTGAACCACCAAGTAAGTTGCAGTCAAGCGCAATTTTTACCTCACCATGTCAGTTTAATTTTTAAAAAAACTATATATAAATGATATAGAATCACGTTGAACTCCTTTGAAAATTTAGTCCTATAAACATATTTCGATATATTGTGGTTAAAGCAAGGTGCTTGGTAATTAAAGCGGTGATAATTCCAACCAGATTTAAATTTTCGCTTCATTAATTTAGATTTCTATATTGTAAACCAATTTACCACCCTTAAACACATGTAATATACTGCGATAATTAATTATGATTTATTCTACGCGTTTCTCAAACTTCTAATTTAGCTCAAAAATCTGTTAGTGTATTAAAAGATTTACCTTTATCAATACTTTGTTTTGGCTCACCTGACGATGTGCATACACAACTGAACCTAGAAGCTTCCACGTTCCACCGCTCCTGTCCATACGAACCATTCGCAGGATCTGAAAGAATCGAAGCCCTCTCAAGGCAGAAGTAGGAAATACTTGTTCGCTGCTCCCCATAGAAAGTACCACAAGTGATGCAATGATGACAATGACATCTTATCGGGAAAGATAAAAAGACTACGTAGAACAATAGGATTACGAAAGTAAAATTTGAATATGGTAGGTGGATTGTAAAAGTGAACACCTTTCATTTTTTGAAGGTTTACATCAGTTCAAAGATTAAGAAGATTAAAATTAGTCATATACTAATTAAGATGAAATGGGAGCTAGGTTATAACTATCCAGTCTGAATATAAAAAAGCTATTATGAAAACAAAATAAAGTATAGTACATTGCTTAGCCAGCTTTGGCCGTTTAACACTCTAACAAAAAATTAAGTTTTAACCGTAGTTTCAGCTATGTTCTTCAAAATTAGTGTGCAGACATTCTCTAGAAGCTCGAAAAATTAGGCTAAATAAAATATAGCAAATGCAAGTTCCCTGTCCTTTTCACAACAAAACAGTGCACAAAGTACCACTATATATGTTAGAGAGTACAATGTAGTGTTACGTATATTAAGTATAGCTTTTTTTCATTTTTAGTTTTTCAAAAAAGTTCAAAAAAATGCTACACTGGCGGGCCAGAAGAGAGTTATGCTCCTTTCTTCGGCCAAGAGTGAAAATGTAAGTAATGTATACTTTATTGGAATATGGTGGTCAAGTGAAATATCTTGCCCTTGTGTACGTGAAACTAAATGAGATGACTAGAGGAAGAAAGTGGAGGCGAGTATTAGCAGAACATCAAAGAGAAGCATCAATGAATTAACCTGGATATACTCAGAAAATCCCCAACGATGATATTAGTACTCGAGAAACAGCGATAGATATATTCAATACGAAGTCGCTTGAGGTAAATAGTAAGAGGTAAAAAAATGATTCACTCGAAAAGCTCATTTGTGTGACAGAAAAGACGGGTTCCAAAATTCCATACGTAATGAAATTAAGGACTAAAGGCTTGTAAATGTATAGAAGAAAAAGAAGATTCAATCCCTAATAGATTCCCATTAACTTACGCATAAGTTCTTTTCTTTATTTGGGCCTGGTCTGGAGAATTAAAAGATGACGCTTCCGAGTAAAATGGTTTTTAAAGACAATTGTTAACAACGTCTGAAAGTTTAATTGAAGTAATGTTTGAATTTCTTCTTAGTATATCCGAATAGTTTAGCTCGAGTTTTGTCAACTTTAAGATAAAGGCACTAGAATCAACACTAATGAAGAAAGCGACTTACAGCAGCCTGAAGTACTTTGTTGAATGTTATAAGAATAGAAAAAGTACCCAGAAAAAAGGTGTCATTAGGTTACTAGAATATAAAGGTTAATATATTATATTATATTGTTACAGTCCATGTCGCCATGTTCGGTAATGCTCTATTTTACCGGTGTGTATATTGAAAATAGCCCTGCAGCGTAGTTTCCATTGCAAAAGGCTCTGTCGTAAGGCTTTATTGTCCAAAGCGCATCATTCTTCCCTACAGGCTATCCATAATACATCTAGTTTGCGAGGACGGTGATTTTACAGAGCTCGTTTCAACAGTATGATCTCACAGACATCCATAGCTTTGATCAATATGTCTTTGTATGGAATAGCATGAATAGTCGTTTCGTTCTTCAGCTGTTGAGCAATGAAATGGTTAGTTGGATATTTCATTTAAGCAGCTTGTGTACACATGACTTATGACGCTTTTCTAGACGGGGATTCTTCTGTACTATGTTGCACACTATTGCTTGAAGTACTTGGACGACTTTTGCCACTAATCTTTGTGTCCGCGAATTCCCACCTATTACAAGACATAGAACTTAGCTTACCACCGCTGGGAAGGTTTGTTGTTTATCTTTCTGGATGGTAGTGGTGCCCCAAGTTGATCCATATTCTTTAATTTTTAATGCCATTAATTTTAATTTGTCTTGAATTTCGCGCAGAGCTACGCAAGGGCTATCTGCGCTAGCTGTCCCTAATTTAGTAGTGAGAGACGAGAGAGAAGGCAGCTAGTCAACACCTACCACCGCCAACTCTTGGTCTACTCTTTTGCCAACGAATAGTGGGATTGACTATCACGTTATAACACCCCCACGGCTGAGAGGATGAGCATGTTTAGTGACGGGGATTCAAACCTGCGACGATCAGATTTTGAGTCGAGCGCCCTAACCACCAGGCCATGTCAGGTCTTATGCTATTAAGTACAGTAGATGTTCCCGCCTTATAAATTATAAATTTCCGATCTTAACACACCTTTGTGATCTGAATGTATGAATATTTTCCGTCGGAAAGGGCTCTTACGTAACCTCTCAAGTAGGGATCAATTTTTGGTGACATTACACTACCTAAGTTACGCCAAACAATGTCAAAATGCAGTTCCTATACGTTCTATACCACCACAGCTTTATATTTGCTGTGATTGTTATAATTTACATATTCGGACTCGTTTTGATATAACTTCTTCAACCCTCTGTAGATGAACTGGAAGAGGAAGTCGAGGCGTTTCTGTCACATAGAGACAATATAACTGAAGAGGCAGAACCGAACCTAGTGGTACTCTAGATGAGAAATTGAATGTTCTGGAGGACGTATTATCAACAGAAATTGCTGTACGTTGATGGATGAAAAATTATGAAATACGTCTGACATATCTCATGGCTAGGTTTACCAGAAGTCCCAGTAAAATTGGGATCATCCCAAATTTTAGTACTTTTTTGTTCTGACCCGAAAGAGTAAAATCGTTAAATTTTACCTGTCATAAGATATTAGTATTAGGCCTATAACATTTGTAAACACTACATTCTTTACTAACCTTCTTATGAATTATCAAGAAT